ATATATATATATAATGAATGAAGCCAATAATGAGTGAAATGCATTATTGTGAACTTTATTCCAATTCTCATTTATTAAATATATATATATATTCATATATGTTTCATTAAATAATATAGACAAGTGTTGTCTATTTATTTTATGTAAATTCTTTTCACAAACCTCTGATAAGCTTAATAACATTATCATTAAACGAAGAAAGAAAATCACAATATTGATCCATATTTTTTAATTCAATCTAAACTTTCGGCTTACATAAGCCATTATCAGAGATGACAATTACTGTGCAATACACGTTTAAATTATTCATTTTACAGTAATATTTAATGAAACATGTATGAATGAAAAAATGCCGCCTAAATACACAATATATATATATATATATATATATATATATATATATATATATATATATATATATAAACCTCAAAAAATTACTGAACCAACTACTTTAGTTTTTTTCTTTTACTATATGGTCAGTTTTAGGCCCACTGGACTGACAGGGTGTAATCAGTTTCTATTTTTTTCCTCAGATTAGGTTATATGCAAAGTTGTGCAGTAATATGAATCTATTTTCAGGGTCTATGATGAAATTTGTTTGCCCTTGAATAATATTGCATAATCTGTGATTGCATCAGATTTTTGTCATGCCCAGACACTATTGTGTCACCTGTCAATTAGTTGTCCTACAGCCATTGTCTGTGATCAACATGACTCCAAGGAAGCGGATGGAAATTGTAATACTGCATGAACACACTGGCAAGCCTTACCAGTGAGCAAATCAAAGTACTATGGACTGACCTGGAAACTGTCCGGGTTTGAATCCATATATGGTCAATCTGCAAGGAATGACTTCTTGGGATGAACATATGAAGTACTAATATGTGCACTGGGTCATGTTTCATTGGAAAAATATGAAAAAAGTAAATAATAAAGGAATTATTCATTTTGTTTCAATTAATTTGCACTCGGGTGTATGTAGTCGTTTTCTTTCATAAAGTTAATTCTTTTTCAATTGTATCTTTTTATTTTTCATTATTATTTTTGTATGTATTATATTGTGTTTATTATATTGTATTATATCATTATTTAATTTATATCAGTTTCTGTTGTATTTATCATATGTTATATTAGTATGTATGTTGCAAGTTAAATATGTATTAAAATGACTGCTTTTTATTAAATGACTGCTTTTAACTATTAATTCATTTGTCTTGTTTAACAATTTAATTTGATTATTGAAATTTATTATATTAAATTTTTCTTCTAAACACAGTCTACATTTTGTATTATATGTGGGTGCTTTATATATTATTATATATATATGTTTATAATAATATAAATTGCTCTTGTTCCCAGGTCCATCTTGACCCAGGATTAGGGTCCCAACTATGCTAACCCCCAAACTGTGGTCAAAACACTATTAAAGTATAAATATACATTTTTATAGTAGAAAGTATAGCAGTATTTTGTAAAAGAAATTACTAATGCATTAAATGATCCATAAGAAGTTGATATGCTGCTAAACAAACAAACATATTTACTCATGATTCTTGTTTGTTGATCAAATATTTTTTATTTACAAGCATGTTTTTTAACATTACTATTATATATTTTATATATATCTATATGCAATATGCATATTGGCACAAAAATGTATATATACATATATGTATAATAAATTAAAATTGTATGCTCCTATATATATATATATATATATATATATATATATATATAACAACCTTCTTTCCCAATACAAATGATTACATAAATGTGTTTGTGTACACATCCTTTCACTGATAGAGATTTTTGTATTTGATGCTCTTCTATGTTATTGATTTGCTAATCAATACAAGTTCCACATTTACAAATTATCTTCCCTGAGTGAAAGTGCTTTGTTTTCCTGCACCACACCCCTTACTTAGACTCACATCACCTCTTCAGTTCCGACATACCCTCCTATTGGCAACAAGGATCCTTTCCTTCTTATTTCCCCCATCTTTACAGACTCTCTCTACCCACCCACCCTCAGCCTTCCTTATCTCATCATTGCTTCGTATGGTCCATTGAGCTTAGTCTGAAACCAGACTGTGCTTGTCATTTTCTTTTATTTCACTGTTGGCATTAGCTGGAAATATTTACCAACTTGATAAGAACAGAAAAATAATTTATAGGCCAACATCTACTCAACAAGGGAGGAAACTTTCACAGGTTATATGACTTATATTGTATTATCTTATATGTTGAATTTTGTAATCAGCTATACAAGAAAAAGTATTCATCTCACAAATTCAGTTGAAGCCTGAGCATTATTTCTTTCTTGGTCAATATTTCCTATACTGAGAGAAATGTAGATATCATTCCTATTTTATTCTTAACTTGGATAGTTTATAGTTCTTCTTATAATGTGAATATCCCCTTTAGTTGCAGATAAAAGAACATCCCCAAAATACGATACTGACAACATCATAATCCGTTTCAAATATGTTGTACTTATAATAGTTATAGACAAATACAGAATGTGTCAGTTTTTGGAGGACTTTTACTTTTTAGAAGAAGAAATGAAAATTGGCACAAATAATCTTGTGAATCATTTTATCATACTTATTCTATGTATCCATCATTAGCATCAATGACTGAAACATGGTCAAAAGCATTAACATGTCTGAATTAGATGATCTTTATTAATTCTGGACATAGTCCTTGTTAGGGTGGAATTTGAGAGATTTTATGAGTATGTTGACTGAACTCTCTCTTGATTATACCTCATACATAGTAGACCAAGGGTTGATAAGCAATAGAAAATGAATGTATCAATACATAGTAGACAAGTAGATTCAGGTCTGGTGAACTAGGAGTTCATCTGTTTGGGAGAACATGATCATAGAAATTATCATGTATCCATGCTTGGGATGCTTTAACCATATGAAATGGTTCAGATTCTTGTTGGAAAGCATATGGTCTTCCATACTTTATAAGATATTATGGAAAAATCAAAAAAAATCCCAAATGATTAACATATATAATTTAAATAATTACTATTATAATTATTAAAAAATCATTAACATTACAGTTACTTTTTTTATTCATTATTCTTATTTCCTAGTTTGTTGCGTATACAATTAATTGACATGTGGCGATGATGTCTATCCAGGGCTTCACAAAGAAAGACAGCAGCATTGACTATTAAGCCTTGAGAGAAGATGTTATGAGGCATGATATCTCCCTCATTGCTCTCCCAGAAACATCAGAGTTGCTGGAAATTTGGTACACATGGTTCTTGGAATTTCAGTCAGGTTTCTGTATAACATTTAGTTGTTCCTTTGGTTTGCCATTTGATATTGATCAAAGATTTTCACATCAGAGAAAAACCAAAGCATCCCAGCTTCTTGACGTTTTAGCTTGCACAGAAAGTACTTTACATGGATCAATCATTCTCTCTTGTCTTTTTCTACATGAACTGACATATCCACATAACATATAACTTGTACTGGATGTCCTCATCTTCCAGTTCTTTTTAAACATTGATAATGAAAGATTGGACAACTTTCAGAAACAAACTATCTCTGAAACACTATATTGCACTTTTAAGGCAACAATTACAATGTGCATTTTCATTTGTTGAGTAAATTTGATGCCTGACATTTACTTAACTGGAAGGAGAAGGTAATAAAAATAAGTTAAAAGACAGCTCAAGCTCTTGAAAGATATGTCCTCAAAAACCTGAAATACTCTGTAGGTTGACTTTGGTTTTTACTGACCACAAAATGTTATTGAAAAAAACATTCTTTATTGATATGCTCATTGGAAATGCACACTTCAACACAATTTTTCTTCATTAATTGTACTTTGTAAATTTGATGGTTTCGTGTTCCCTCTTACCACAAAGTGTTACATATTCTCTGACATGTTAGAATTGTACTACTTGAATTGATATCATCAATTAATTTTTTCAAAGTGATTCTTGATTGCTGTTTTATAAACATTCAAACAAGTTTTGAGCAGAGATATTTTAAAATCTTTTTAGGGTTCCATGTTTATCTGAATGTTAAAATGCTTTGAGGGCTTTCTGTAGCCTTTTCCTTTTTATTCTTCTACAAAAACATTCTTTCATTTTTGGTATGGCAAAGATTTTGTCTCAACAACATTTGGACAAAGAATGACAAATACTTTATAAGATATTATAGAAAAATCAAGAAAAATCCTAAATGATTAATATATATAATTTAAATAATTACTATTATAATTATTAAAAAATCATTAACATTACAGTTACTTTTTCCATTCATTATTCTTATTTCCTAGATAGTTTGTTGCGTATACAATGAATTGACATGTGGCGATAATGTTTGAAACTTGGCATATGTCAAATTTCATATTGATGCAATAAATTTACATGTATTTATTTGATGAAATAATCAATATTTGTATATGACAGATATTGAAATAGACAGGTATAAATCACTGTAAGTAAATTTTATTAACAGTAGATGCATACTCACACACACACACATATATATATATATATATATATATATATATATATATATATATATATATAGCATATAAATAGACTGCTATACACCACTTCAAGCACTATGCAATAAAAACACATAAAAATAATTAAGAAAAAATACTGAAGAAATGTAGTGACTTTGTTCACTTGATTTGTAGGTTATCTGTCTGAGATTGACTAAAAAATGTGATTAACCTCAGAGAATTCAAGAGATCTTGAATGCAATAGACTTTTTGAAAAGAAAATCAAAAAAAGAAAACATTAAAATATCCGTGAGTATGACATTTATGTAGAGAAATGGAAATGAATATGCTTGGATGCTTATATAGATACAATGGCTTTTATTCAATTTATTTAATTTAATCTGTTTCATTCTATTGTTATGTCTTATTCTGTTTACATTAATATGTCTCAAAAGATAACATTTTAATTGGTTTGATGGAAACATTATAAGTGATGCAAATATGTCTGTTATTTTCTTCAGATTCAAATCCATTCTTCTCCAACAACTGTCCCAAATGGTAATATTCACTACAACATGAAAGGACACATCTGGGAACCGACTGAATTATTAAAAGTAAGTAAAGCATTTTGATTCTGTCTTCTTAGTAAAAGGAATAGACTAACATGCAAATTACAAATCGAAGATACCAAAATCAAACAAGTGCAATAATTTAAATATCTGAGAAGTGTCTTAACAAAGAACAGAAAATGTGATACTGAAATCTGAAGGCACATTGTGATAGCTGAAGATACCTTCCAAAAGTAAACTAAAGAAGCAGGAAAATTGTGTTAGAAACAAAGAAAAGAGTACTGAACTGTTATGTAATATCAGTACCCTTATATAGCAGTGAATGCTGGACAATCTCAAGGATGGAGAAGACACTTGAAGAAACAAAAGTGTAGTTCCCCATGCTGAGAATATCATGGGCCAAATATTGTAGGCAATTACAAAGTTTTAGAGAAAATGGAAACAAAAAGAAAATTTATACTTAACATTAGAAAGAGAGAGTTGAAATTTCTGGGGCACATAATGAAGAAAGCGGACTTGGAAAATTTGATACGCACAGGACATAATGAAGGCAAGAGGAAAAGCATAACTTACCACATGAGCTTTAATAAATGGATGGCAGAACAATGTTTTGGACTGCTAACAGTGCTCAAAATCATTTTCATCATTGGCATTCAAATCATAAAGAGTTATAGCAATTTTATCACTCAAAAGAAGCTTGGTATACATGAACGATATCTCCAGAATGGATCTATATTTGCTACTACAGTGAAAGGAAACTTTTAGTTTATACAAAACAAAAGGTGGGAAATGTTAAGGCACAAATGTTTTACTTGTTATGTCAGTCATTTGTTTTCTCTGATTAAAAACATTTTTTCTTTTTATACAATGTTTTCATGGGTCTGCCATTTTTGAAGACTGCACATCAAAGCTTACTCGATATGTTTCTCCATTATTACATCTACTTCCCAAATGACTTCTCGTCTTCCTTTTCTCCAAACTGTCTTGAAAAAAATGCCACATTCTCCCAGACTTTGCCAATTCAATAATGCTATAACAGACTAGGAGCTGGAAAGTTCTTGATATTTAGTGAAATAAGAAGGAACTGAGGTGAAAGGTTGAAGGTTCTTAATATCTCAAGGTATAAACATCAAAAATTAAAAGAAAGCAAAGAACAAAATTTCTACAAAAGTTCTTGTAAACATAAACATTGTTGAATTTTTTGCTTTGTTATTGTTCAGTGTTTTGAGTGTTTTCAACTTTTCTTTCAATTCTTTTTTTGATCAACAATTTTCTTTGTATTTTTCAGAATAATTCTATGTCTTCTTTTATGTAAATAAGAAAAATTAATTTTCTAAATTAGTTTTTTTATTGACTGATTACTTTTCTACAGCTTAACAAACCTCTGTAGTCAGAAATTTTTTTTAGATTGTAACAATTTAAAAAAAAAAATTAATTAATCATTTAGTCTTATTAATTAACCCATAGCTGGGGGATAAGAGGTAGATTCTTACCTTTACCAAGGGTATTTGTGCATAAGTGAATATAATGAACTGAATAGGAATTGGTACTCAGCTCTAGGTACTGACCAGGTTCAACGTTGCTTAACTTCAGTGATCATATGGCAACCAGTATTTCAGTGTGATATGCCTGTAAGCCTAGATTAGATTTTTTATCTTTCTTAATCTGAATAATGCAAATATGTGTTAATCTTCAGCAAACATAATCTTCTTGTTGATACTTTAAAATTTTCATTAATTTAAGGATCTCTTTGGTTACAGCATGAGACTACACATTAGCTGACAAATAATTCAATCAACAAAAAATATTATAGATAAAAATATGTTACTCTCTGTCACATTAAATAAATTGTTTCATTCAAGTCTTTGAGAACTTGTACTCTCTGGAAAGTCACAAAAGGATTTTTATTTTTATTCAATCTGCAGAATCCTAACTCTGAACAACACCTCATTAATAGTAAAGAATTTGGCTACCTGTAGTAAATAAATAAACAAACCTGACACAAATATTTTCTTAAATGCTCAGGTAGAAAAAAAAATGATCTTAAATTGCATAAGGTATAAAAATATTTCTAAAATAGTCACTTCATAAGGAGAGTTTGATCAGGTAGAGAGAATCTTAAAAGACCTAGTACAATATATGAAATTTGACTTTAAGGTAAAATTTAAGCAAGTAGGGTTTATCATAAGATAGTAAAATTATTTTTTGAGTTTGTAGATATAGGTAAGTATTACACACAGTGGCGTAGCTAGAGGGGTTGGAGAGGGTGGTCTGCCTCAGGCAGCACTTTACGGGGTGAAAGTTTTGTGTCTGCTGTAGGCTATAAGCCTGTATAGATTGTAATGAAATAAAAGTGGTTTTAATGTCGGGATAATACTGACAATTGAAAGAACTTTTTGATTTCGAGAAATTTAAACTATGGCATATATATTGGTCTGTCTATGGTCTATAGAGTGACAATGGACAAATGAAATAGATTTTGACGATGTCATTGATGAATTTGCCAACAAAAAAGTAAGAAAAGTTACTTTGTATAAAGTTAGTTTTCATTTCAAAAATAAAGATGGTCCTAATTTTTCACACTTTTTTCCTTATATGTAATTTTTGCTTTTTAATGATTACTGATAAAGTTTAAGTATGTTTGGTGTGTATTTAAAGCATACTATATTTGAGGATGTGAAAGTAATATTATAATGGTACACAAACTAGTTTTATAATTTTAAGAGTGAGTCACTGTGTGCAATATGTATTTTTGTAGGCGACAAGGGATAGCAAAATCAAGGACTGCCCCTGGTGGCACACACTATGCCACGGATTACACATTCTAATGAAAAGATATCTCCAGAAAAATAAATATATATATATATATATATATATATATATATATATATATACATAACAGTTCTAATATCACTTTCATTTTTATCTTAAATTTTAAAAAATTATATTGAAACACAGAATTCAGTTAGAAAATCATGAACTAGTTAAAAAATGTTTTAACAATTAAATTTTAAAAATTACATCTATTATTAAAAGTAATGCTGAATATTTTTTTAAATAAGTAAGTAACCTTTGACCTATGCTGTATCTTTTATTATTCTGATCTAATCATTTTGTGATAAATGAAGTCATCTTTCCAGAGTCATATTAGACATGGAAATAATATATTTTACTTTTTTAATATAAAGTTGTAAAAGTACATCAAATGAAAATAACTGAAAATATGATGATTTATAGTTGAAGCCTTTTCAAGACCATTTAGCTGACAATATTATACAGATATTACATTGTAATATGACAATATAAATATGTATTCATCTAATGTCTCTGCTTAAAACTCTTAAATGTTTATTTACTATTTATTTACATTTTTTCCTCAATAGGAGCAGATAAGTTTTCCTACCATCTGGTTCACACGCCTTCCCTGTCTTTTGTACAGGAGTAGAGATTTATTCCTTGTTTCCTGTTGAGGCACATACAAATAGTTTATATATAATACAAGGAAAGGTCAAGAATTATCCGCACTTTCATCATAACATATTTTTAAGTTTGTTACACTACCAACTACTCATGAGTGCTTATAGTTGGTACTATAGTGATCACGTGATTGAAGTTTGAGCTTGATACTGCTTTTTTTGCTGCTGTTGCAGTGTAAACATGGCTTCTCTGCTAGCAGCATACACCAAAATGAGACAAAGAGCAGTGATCCAATTTCTCTGATTGGAATGTGTGTCAGGGGCTAAAATTCATCAGAGGCTTTTAACATAATATGGTAACAGTCAACTTTCACTACTGATAAGAAGATTCAGCAAGCTCAAGAGATGGTAATGGTGAACCAGTGAGATATCATTGATGTGGTAGCATGTTCTTTGCAGATTTGGATCACTGCTCTTTGTTCCTTCTTGATGCACACTGCTAGTGGAGCAGCCATGTTTACACTGTAAATAATATATAATATCATTTTTGATTTACTCTCATATATACATTATATATTAATATTTTTTGATTACTTAACAAATGTTATGAAAGATAATCTTCTAATCTTTAATTCTTATAAATTTAATGTTTCATTTCAGGCATTCAGCAGAGGTTCACAGCATGGAAGATTCTGTCTGTCTCACTTATTTACTTATCAATCTTTTAGCGATAATGTTGTTGGCCTGGCATATACAGCTTCACCCAGACCTGACATAGCAGGAGGAATCTGTTCTCCATGTAGGTATTGTTTTTGTTAAAATATACATGCAGTAATTTGAATTTAAGTTTTTAAAACTTTAATTATTTCTAATTTACTGACAAAACTGTTGGGTACCATTTCAGCTTATCTGGTAACAGTATTTTTAACTGGCTCAGTGGACAGGCTACTGTGCTAATTTCAGTTGTAGATTTTGAATTTAGAGTTATCTTACTTTGAAACTGGCATCCAATCAAGTCTAGAGAACACAGTCTGCACTGCTATTTAATGTATAGCTGTGGCCATCGGGTGAGAAGAAATGGATTCATACATTTCCTAAGGATATTTGTGCAAAAGTGAATGTAATGACCTTACCTGGAATTTGAATCGAGCACACTGATCTCACTTTTCTCACCAATAACCACTCTACTGAACACACAGAGCCACTTTTAAGTATATTCTTATTCAAATTTGATCTTATGGACAGGAATAGAGATTTTAGCACATGACTGTTTCTGATGCAAGGCTTATAACTCAAGTAAAATTTCATAATATACGACAGAAACTGGGTTGTTAACAATACAAAATATATAAATAGATACTGAACTGAAGAATTCTGGAAGAAATTTGAGTAAATGTAATCAGGGTATTAAAATAGTAATATCGTAAAATATTATATAAACTAACTTCCAGTCATGTCAGTAAAATACAATTTTAGCAGATATTGTACAAAGAGGCTTAGTTTAGAATTTAAAGAAGAGAAGCCATTTCATTCAAGTGAAAAGAGTTTGCAACACAGAAGAAGATTCACAGTTACCATAAATAAGCAGACTAACATCAAGATCAAAGAATGATAATAAGTCTTTGGGAAGGAGAAAGTAGGAAAGAATTGATTAATTTCCAGATGAGAAAAGAAGAAGCTTGATGATCACCTTACAGAAACAGTAAAAAAAGATAAAACCTGTATGGATTCTTACCATCCACAAAATAAAAAAATGGATAGGAAATAGTCTTTATGGCTGAGGAAGCAAAACTTCAAAGAAATGCATGAAAATCTCAGATAAGCATGATTCAATCCTGAAGGCACCATATGCTGAATTTGTTCTGCTTTGTTGCGGACAAAGAGAAATGTTTCTTATATATTGTTTTTGATGTTTTTTTCATTATCACTCTTGTACATGTGTTGATGTATCTTCAGAGTTACCTGCTCATGAAAAAAGTGTATATAGACCCTAATCAAAAGAATAGAAAGGTTTGTGTTTTGAATTAAGAAACCAAGGAGTTACTATTGTTTCTTCAATAAAGTTGATCAAGAATTTTGAATGAAAAGCCAAACCAATTCTTTCTGCTTATTGTATAAATTTATTTTATTATGGCTGGATGCTCAATATATCAGAAAGTTGTCCCAGTTATCAGTTACAAAAAATCCAATCACATTAGTTATAATTTGTGCAAATATGCTGAGCATTAAAATTTTCATATATTTTCTTTATAAAGCTTTTTATAAGTAGCATACACTGTTATAATGAAATATCATTTTGTTGATGAGATATCCAGTGTGGAAAATAAGTATTTCATCCCCTACTGATTTTCAGAGCTTGCCACCTTACATAAATAAGAACGGTCGATAATTTTCAGGGTAGGTCTGTCTTGAAAGTGAGAAATAGAACATAAAAAAATTCTAGAAAATCACATTATATTAATTTTTGAAATTTTATTTCTTTTTTATTGAAAAAATAAATATTTCACTCCCTACCAACCACCAGCAATGATTCAGACTCCACAGACTGGTTATGTAACCAGGAGGCATATAGACTAGTCCTATTACTCAATTATTACTCCTAATCAAGTACTCATTACCTGTATAAAAGATGCTAGTTCACAGAATCCTTCAATGAATCAGAATCTAATCTCTCTACAATGGGCAAGATGAAAGAATTGCTTAAGGACATCTGGGACAAAATTGTACAAGACTGGAATGGGCTACAAGATGATTGGCAAGCAGCTAGGTGAGGAATCAACTGTTGGGGTGATAAGAAAATGGAAGAAACACAAATTGATTATCAATCTCCCTCAGTCTGGAACTCCACACAAGATCTCCCAATGTGGATGATGAGAAAGGTGAGGAAACAACTCAGAACTTTGCGGCAAGAGCTTGTTGATGATCTCAAGGCAGCTGGAACCACAGTCATCAAGATGACCATGAGTGACACTATGTTATAGTGGACTGAAATCATGTAGTGCCTGCAAGGTTCCCCTACTTAAGAAGGCACATATAGAGGCCTGTCAGAAGTTTGCAAATGAGCACCTGGATGATTCAAAGAAGTGTTGGGAGAAAGTGCTGTGGTCAGATGAGACTAAAATTGAGCTTTTTGGCATCAACTTCACTTGCTGTGTTTGGAGGGGAAAAAAAAGCTGACTTGGATCCCAAGAACACCACTCCAACCATGAAGCATAGTGATGGAAACATTATGCTTTGGGGCTGTTTCTCTGCTAAGGGGACAGGATGACTACACCGGGTCAAGGAAAGATGGATGGTGCCAAGTACAGGGAAATCTTGAGTGAAAACCTCCTTGCCTCAGCCAGGACAATGAAGATGGGTCATGGATGGATGTTCCAGCATGGCAATGACCCAAAGCATACAGCTTAGGCAACAAAGGAGTGGCTCAAAAAGAAGCACATTAAGGTAATGGAGCGACCTAGTCAGTCTCCAGACCTTAATCCTTTAGAGAATCTGTGAGGGGAGCTGAAGCTTCAAGTTACTCAATGACAACCTACAAACTTTAAGGATTTGGAGAGGATCTGCAAAGAGGGGTGGGCCAAAATTCCCCCTGGGATCTGTAAAAACTTGGTAACCAACTACAGGAAACATCTGGCTGCTGTGCTTGCCAACAAGGTTTTTTTTCACCAATTCTGAGTTATGATTTTCTATCGGGTGAAATATTTATTTTTTTCAATAAGGGAGAAATAAATGTTGAAAAATTAATATGTGATTTTCTAGAATTTTTTTTATATTCAATTTCTCACTTTCAAGTTCTTATTTTTGTAAGGTGGCAAATTCAGAAAATCAGCAGGGGATGAAATACTTATTTTCCACACTGTATTTTCACTTGTTGAAGGGTTATATTTTGTTACAAGATGTCTACTTATGGAAGAAAGATGGGGTAAGGATTGCATTGTGTTTGAATGAGATACTTTCTTGAAGAGGAGATAATGAAATTACAAGTAATATTGTATAGTTAATGACATTTTATTGCCTTCTTCTATGTGCTCTGTCCCTTCAGGATGTTGGTGATCATGGCTCTCTACAATTTCCTGTCCTTTGTAGCTCTTAATATATTTTCTCTTTTTGTTGTGTTACCTAAACCCTTTTCTGTCATTCATTTACTCCAGCCCGCTAGGATAGTTATGTATTGTTTTCATCTGTCTCTCTTGCCTAGAATTTGTCCCATGTGTATCAACACCACGGGTTTGTTAAAGACACTGGAACAAGGAATGTGATATTTATGCTCAGAATGATATCAGAAAGAGCAATACAAAAGGATGTGTATCTGTGTTTTATAGATTATCCAGAAGTGTTTGATTAATTATGGCTTAAAGAACTGTTAGAACTACCAGATAACCTTGATATATGTGGAGAGGATACTAGAATAATCCAGAACCTGCACTGGCAGAAAACAAAATTAAGTAAATATACAAAAATAGAAAGTATTTAAGACAAGGATAAGTCTTCTTACTAGATCTATTCAACCTATACAGTGAGATTATTCTATGAGTATTAGAAATACTACCAAGATTCATTATTGGTAGCCACAATCTTAAAAACAAAAGATATACAGATGAAACAGTTTTGTTAGAAGACATTGAAAATAAACTACAAGAATTTCTACAGAAGGTAGTGAAGGAAAGTGAAAAGAAAGGACTAAATATCAATTGCAAGGAAGAGAGAATACATGGTTGTCAGCAAAAGGAACAGCTCAACATGCAAATTACAAATGGAAGATGCCAAAATCAAACAATTACAACAATTTAAATATCTGAGAAATGTTTTAACAGAGGATTGAGCATGTGACACTGAAGTGCGAAGTCTCATTGTCATAATGAAAGATGCCTTCCAAAAGCTAAGCAAAGTATTAAGAAACAGGAAAATTTTGTTAGAAAGAAGGAAAAAAAGCTGTTATGTAATATGGAAATGAATGCTGGACAATCTCCTCACAGATGAAGAAGAGACTTGACGCAACAGAAATGTAGTTCTACAGAAGGATGCTGAGGATACCATGAACCAAATATGTGAGCAATGACAAAGTTTTAGATAAAGTGGAAACAAAGAGGTAACTTATACTTAACATCAGGAAGAGATAGTTGAAATTTCTAGGGTGCATAATGAGGAAAGAGGGCTTTGAAAATTTGATGCTCACAAGATAGATTGAAGGAAAGAAGGCCAGAAAAACAATGAATAACCTACCTAGTAAGCTTCAATAAATGAATGGCTGAACAAAATTTAGAAGAAATGACAAAAAGACAAAATTTTCAAAGAGTTACAAAGGACAGGAAATTGTGGAGAGGCATGATTGCTAATGTCTTGAAGGGACACACTATATAGAAGAAGAAGAATTACACTGAATTTATAACTTTTAATTAAATGTTTTTTGTCTTGTGGGAACAGTTACAAATCATTAGCTTACTTATTTGAGCAGCAGTAATATAATTGACATTTACTTTAATATATTTTATATTTCTTCCATAATTGTAAAAACTTTTATCTTAAATATTTTGCTGTGGAATCTTTGCGTCTTAATTAGTATATGAGAATGTGAGTTAATTTTACTAATTATTTGAGAACTTTTTTCTAATATCTTAATATTGAGAAATGCAAATATTGTATTATACTGTAGGGTTACCTACCCTTGCTTAGTTATAGTTCTGTGGATTACCCCACTTGGTTTCATCAAAAACTTTTTAACACTATATGAAAAACAAAAATTTCCTTCCAAGATGTAACAGTACATAGATAAAGGTGTCCCCACTGTTTCCCTAGTCA